GGATTCACATCGGACATTAGTACTTTTACGAAAATATTATATAACTTCAGTGGCAAAAACTAAAGCTTGATTTGTAATTGGCATGTGATCAATGAGAACTACAGAACTAGCCAGCTCCCTATTTAGTGAATTGTACTTAAGTCAACTCAAAATTAACTCGCTCATCGTGAACCCCCAATAAGATATCAAGGAAGTTCCAGACTAGAGAGAAGACTTTATATTACTTCTAAGTTTGTAAAACTTTTGTATATAAATCATTGTCTGTCATAATTATTTGTAATAACTGTTATTGTAAATTGTATTATTGATTGTATATTAAAATATATTTGTATAGAAAAAGAAAACTGTGTGTATCAATCTTGTTGGCAAATATCATAAATTGGATATATATATTGGCATTTATTTAACTACTAAATCTAAACTACAATTTAACTCAGTTTTAGGCTATTTAAAATTGTAATGCGTAACATAATACATGTAAAATTCCACCCATAGTACACGAATTAAGTTCTGAGTGAAGAGCATACCTGTTCTGGATGTAGTGTGGTTCTCCCACTAGGATGCCAATCTTCTGTTAACACACCCATGATCTATGCAGATGCTTTTTATATGGATAATGCCCTTACTGGGCCTCTCCACCTTCTCAATATGGGATTCTAGCTGTAGGGTGAGCTGAGGTCTAACTTCACTTTTTTCAGTTTTACTTTCTCTAACTTACTTTTTCTATAAATCTGCACGTATTTGTAACACATGACAGAAAAATATAAAAATATCTAGCCCTTTAGAAACAACAATATTAAATATAAGGAGAAAGACTTAAAAGCTTCAAGTAAGATGAAGCCAACAATATTACAAAACTAGTACAACAATTATACTACATACACAACTCGCGACTTGTACAGAGTTACATAACAAAACTTGTCATAACTCTCACTTTTAAAATAATTAATTTTTAACATGCTTGTTATGAAAACTAAATCATCATTAAATATTAAATCACAAAATAAACTAAATAATAACTCTTAAGTTGACCAGTCTTATATATCCAACAATCAGTGGTATTTTCAGGTTGGCATTTATTTACCCAGTTCTGCCAGTCATATCTTGGTGTAAGTTTGTAGTTGTTGGTGATACTTGTAGAGGGCTTTCCTATTTCAAACACTACTTCTTAATCAGAATTTGTATTTCAGTGGTTAAAAATATAAATGCTGAAGATGATCTTAAAGATTTTGAAGGTCAAAGTGAATTTAGCTTAGCTCCATAACTACTACTGTTTTGCATTTCTATTCATTTTCCCAGTGTAATTGTAATATGCATATTTAAAGTAAAAGCTGGTGCCCTTCAGAAGAGAAGTTGAACAATGTATTAATAACTGTAGGAGAAGGAAGTAAAATTGTTTTATTAATAGCTTCAAAATTCTAGTCATTGATTACAAGAAATAGATATTATTGATGAAAATGTAAGATATGATGCTTGTTATATATTTTTGTGGAGAAATTCTGTTATTTCATTTCACATATAAAACCTTCTGATAAAAATTTACACTTTTGTTTAGAAATGCACACATGTATACAGCCAAACATACAACTGAGGAAGTAATAAGTTCCGACTAAATGACAAGTATAATATGGGACATTTAACAGAAGTGGTTAAGATTTCAACAGCTGCACACTAAATACATTGAAATTACTTCAGTTTGGGGAACATAACTGTATTTGTAAACAATAACCAAACTTGATATGAACTGTGACTTTTTTTCAATGTTGTATTGTCTATTGACTGAACATGCACAGGTTGGTCCAATGGGCTGACCCTGTATTGCAGAAGGAATGTTTACTACAATTCCAAGTTTACTATGTGTATCTACACAAAATGTGGCAAGCTTTTAGTCAGATGTACAAGTCTGTTTTATAAAAAAAAAATAAACAGATATGTTATTAACATAGTTATACTCAAGATATGTGTGTGAAATGTTGATATCACTCTGACACAGACTCTGACATGTTGGAGTAGTTAGAATAAAAATACTGTTTTTCCATTGTACCATTTGCATATCTTCTAGAACTTCCAAAATGCAGATAGTTCTTACATATTCCTGTTTATCATATCTGGTACACTAAATCAACAATGTAGTGTAATGTGAATATATGATAACTCTGAAATCAAGTATATAATACCGTGTTGTAAGATGTCATGGCATGTGCACTTTGATCCCAATGTGAGTACATACAGATAATAAAAATATTTATTTTTACTTCCCTTTAAACAGACTTGAAGTCATGGAATAGTAAATGAACATTTATTATAATAAGCATTTATTTCTTGAAATAGAAATTATGCATGTGATGTGTTTTTTTTTGTAGAAAGTTTGATAGTTGCTTTAAAAAAATACAAATCTTGATTGATATATGAGATAGAACTAGTGGTTTTTTTTACATATTGTAGTAAGACAAAATATAGTTTCAGTTGGTTAGGACTATGTGTGATATTTAACTATTCACGGTGAATTTTGAACATAATTGCATGCAGTTTCTGGTTTCCTCTGATTTTTCTTTACACAGTTACATATTATTATAAGTTTGGTTAAAGAAATGATTGATTATCAAAATAGAGATGTTGGACAATCTGAATCAGGCTCATAAAGATTCACACAAGTATACCTTTATATGAATATTGCCTCTTGCTACTTCACCAAGGAGGCTGTCTATGTACCAATTAGATCTTTCAGATAAATAATATATTTCATTATCTTCTCTTTCATGTGAGTTTTAAGTATATAAGTAAACGTGCTATTAGTCAATCTCTTCATAAATTTTAAGGCATCAAATAATACTTACCGTGCAAGTTATTTTAAAGTGACTATAATCATGAATGAAAGAACAAATCTATTAAAGTAGATACATAGTCACCAACAGTTATAATAATTCACTAAGTAGCACCGCACTCTATCTTATTACTAAAGAACAAAGCAAAAAACTTTTTAAAATGAAATTAGTATTTAAATACAAACATTCAATTTTTTTTTGTTATAAAGAAATATTTTTTTTTATATAGATTGCTTATATTTTAACCATAAATTTTTATTATATTTTAGGCCAGTAACTATAGTGATTTCCAGTCAGTTGAAGTTTCAACTTCAGCAGTTCTTCATTACTGTAAGAGAAAAATTTTAATCCCATACTTCAGACTTTTGGCTTTGGTAAGTGTGTGTGTATGCATAAGCTATTTTCAACATAGAGAAAAAGTGAAATTTTAATTCTATCCTTAAAACTGCTGGCTTTGGTAAGTGTGTGTGCAAATGCTGTTATCAACATATATGTTAGGTAATCCTGAATTTCCGTTACAATGACTCACCTCTGCAACAGATCAACTATTTTCATCTTGAAGTTGTGCTCTTACATGCCACCAGCCTTGTAAAATTCCCATCTAAAATTCACGTAAAAATGTGAAATTGTGCTGCTGCATGATGACATTATGTACCGAAACCTTCCACAAATAGGAGTGTGATGCACCTCCCTGTGTAAATTCTCCCTCTATATTCACGTGTGAAAAACCTCATTCTTTTTTCTTGGCATAGTTGTGCTAAGATGTCTTTGTTTTTGCTGATACTTGAAGTATTTTACTTCAACAACTTTACTTTGTATTTTCAACCTTTCATTATGAATTGACAGATTAATGTGAATTCTTTTTCTGCTGATGTGAGTACAGGTATCACTCACAGTTACCAACAATTTAGTAAGTTCTTTACCTGTTGAGATTGTGACAGCTATTGCTCAACATGTGGTAGAGTCCGTGTTGCTACCTGGACTATCTTATTCTATCCCTGCCATACATTTCCCTTCAGAGAATTTGGAAGCTAAAGTTGAGAACAAAATAGAGCTACTTTTTCCACCCAATACTTCCCTACCTAAGAATATCTCTTGACTTTTTCCCACCCAGTTTATGATGTCTTCTACCTGTGGTATCCTTTCTTCTCCCTGTCTTATTAATGCTGCACTGAGCATTTTCTTCAAGTTTATATTGGTTCCCACTATTTTATGCTTTATCCTTCCTTTCTTACTAGGTCACTCATAGAAGTTACTGTTTAGATAGAGTTTATTCTACCTTAACATGTTTAGACATCATTTATTACTCCTTAACATGTCCACATATGATACATCATTTAGATCTAGTTTGTTACTCCTTAACTTCTTCATGTCCACATCCATGTTAATGTTTAGTTCTTGTTCTTACATGTCCATGTAGAAGATATTGTTTTGTTATAGATAATTACACCTTAACATATAACTCGTTAAAGTTAATATTTTGATAGAGTTCATTACTCCTTTACATGTACCTATAGGAGATAATGTGTAGACGTAGTTAATTAATCCTTACCGTGTCCGACTTTGAATATGTGTCTGGTCATGGTTCATTGTTCCTTTTTGTATACATAACAGTTGATGCAAAGAAATATTTACTTATTATTTATCATGTATACTTAGATTTAATGTTTAGTTGTAGTTCTTTACTTCTTAACTTATAGCACTCAGAATATGTTGTTTAGTCACGGTTACTTACCACTTATGTCACTTAAAAGGTAATATTTCCTTTTAGTTCATTACTCCTTAACATGTACACATAGTAGATAATGTTTAATCATAGTTAATTACTCCTTGGTATGTACACACGGTAGATGATGCTTCGTTCTAGTTCCTCTTTAGCATGCATACTTAGACATTCATGTTTAGTTCTATTTCATTACTTCTTAACATGTACACATAAGAGATAATATTTCAATATTGTTTATTCTTCCTTATCTTGCAACACTTTGATGTATGGTTAATGTTTTGTCATAGTTTTTACTACTTAATGTGTACCCATGGATGATAATATTTAGCTCTTATCTATTACTCCTTGACAAGTCACACATAGACAATAATATTTGTTGTACTTCATTACTTCTTAGCATTTACCTGTAGTAGATAATGTTTTGTCCTTGTTCATTACTCCTTAACATGTCCACATAGTCTATAAAGATTTGATCTGGTTATTTATTCCTTTACTTACCATTAGAAGATAGGGTTTTGACATAATCGTTTACTCCATACCATGCCACACATAGTCATTGTTTAGATGTAGCTTCTTACTCCGTAACATGTACTCATAGTGAATAATGTTTAATCTTTTTTCTGTATTCCTTAACATACATATAGAAGCTAATGTTCAGACATAGTTCTGGGCTTATTCCATTCAAATGTTTCATAACCTGTTATGTTCAGGGGGCACTACAAGTTGTCGCTGGCTGTCTTCTCGACATGACCACATCCTACTCAAGGATTGGTTCCTTACCCATTAGTCTACTGTGCTACTTTCTGATTATTTCTCCTCCTTTAGTTGCCTTCCCACACCCCTCCTTCCTAACTTCCTCTATTCTGGTCTTCTGTGCCTCATTCCTTAATGTCCTTTCTTATCTGGGACCCTTCCTCTACCCAGGGGCCTCTCTCCTTACCCCATTACATATTAGATCTGTCAGCTCATATGTTTTATATATGCTCTTTCGAGTCTCTTCTCTTCAGTTTTTCTCCTTTATTCTCTGGGCTGGCATATGGACTACCCCACAATCATTTATCTCGCATTAAACTATCTACACTATCTGACTGTCTCATCTCCAGTAGCGTACAAACCTCCATCAACAGCCATTCTTCAATTAGCTCTGCACCTGCAATGTGTGTGAGAATTTATGTACTTCTTCCTTCTTCACCTTTCATCTACATTTGGATCCCACAAGGTGGCTAGTGTTGCCTCATGTGATATGCTTACCCAAAATTCTGCATCGGACCAAGATAATGGGAAAGTACTCAGTCCACCTGCCCTGGCCCAATCAGTGCCTACTGTGTTATGGGTGTTCTGCAAGATCACTGGAGTTCTACTTCTGGTGTTAATATAACTTTTTCCAATCTGATCCAAACTGTACCCAATCCAGGGACTACCATAGAAAAGGTCAGCACCAGACTTGTGCTTCTGCCCCACACCTCTGTCTAGTGCTTGCTTGCTTTTAAAAATAAGGTTTCAGTGTTACCGATTGCACTGTCTCCAGTAAAAGACCTTTCTGGACTGAAGAACCAATGGGAATCTGGGCACATTCTCTCTGTCTCCCTTATGTGAAACCCCCCCTCCCTTCAAGTCTCTTGCCACTTACCAGCTCCCAGTTGTTGGGGTGGTGGTCCATAGAGAATCCTCACAGCTTGGGACCCAACAGCTGGTGCTACAACAGGGGGTCCCTCTATACTGAGAAGTGTGGCAGGGGTGTTTTCCAGAGCATAGTGTGGGCCACCCTAACCTTACCTTGATACATCACAATCTCTGGGGATTTTGGACACATAGCTCATTTACTCACCCTTTATCTACTCTTGCAAGGACATGACCCCATGGAATATGCTTGCAGAATAATTGATGTTTCTTAACATCCAACTGTGGTGTATTGTTAATTAACTCTACTTCCACAGCTGATGTTTGGCTCGTAGAGCCTGATGGTTGAGTGATGGTTTCAAAAGTATTCTTATTAGTTGTGTCTATTATGATACCCTTCTTCTGTGAATGGCATGGGCCCTTAGTGTCTGATGGTGGAGGAGATGTGCACAGATACTTTTCACATGTACTCTTCTCCCACAGCTAATATTTACCAGCAGAAACTGATGGTTGAGGAGGTGAGTGCACATGGTACAGTCTGAACATGCCCCTAACCTTACTACACACATTGGCCATCCAACAACTTGTGTGCAAGCTCTCAGACAGTCATGTACCAATTCCACCCATCCTTGCGACACTTTTCAGACTTCTTGCTTCTCCCTATTCTTCACTTGATTAAAGAGTATATCCTATGAAGCCCCTGCCAGAGGGTGTCACACCCCATGGGCTTCCTTTGAGCACTTTTATCTGCACAGGCCCCTCCATGATCTCAATGTGGGATTCTAGCTGATTTATGTATAGAAGTGAGTCATCATATCAGAAATACACAGATAGATACACACCTTCTTACCCTTCCTCCCCACTTTCCTGGTGCACTTTTATTGGTTGACTTATCAAAGAATGAAGATTTTTGGGTGTGAATGTAGAAGGAGCATTTGTGCAGGGAAGTGTATTGCACTACTATAGGTGGAGGGTTTTACTGCCTAATAGGTCATCATGCAGTAGTGTAATTTCATGTGTTTATTACATGAATTTTAAGTGGGAGTTTCACAAGGCTGGTGGCATGCAAGTCTCTTAAGCAAAAGAGTACTACTTCAAGAGGAAAATAGCTTATCTGTGTTTGGAGGTGAGTATCTATCGGAAATACATTTTCAGGTAAGGAAAATGTTAACTTCAGATTGTTTATTTTGATAAGGTTATGGGCAAATGTTTTTTTTAAGTTTTTGAATAAAAAGGACTTTTTTTTCAGTTCTGTTCTTAAACTTTTGGATTAGATGAATTTATATACAGATGTTTTTTTTCAGCACTAGAATTGATTGTGTACTTTGAACTGTTCAGTACTGTAAATATATGTGAAAATGTTGTTTATACCATGTTATAAAAAGCATCTTGTGTCCTTATATACTACTTGTATAATGAGCATATGATTGTTTTGTAAAATATTTTTTAGAATACTGTAGTAGAACAAATTTCATCAGCAAAGAGAGTCATAAAATGAACTCACTCAAAATTTATCTTGAAGGTGGTTTCACATATTGGCACAAAGCTACACAAGCATTATCTACTATAGCTGTATTTAATTTTGAACCAATAGCCTAGAGTTAAGGCAGCTAGTCAACAATACCCACCGAATTGTTGGGCTGCTCTAAGTTGAGTTGAGTGATTAACTGGATTAATTTATACAATCAATTACTATTGAGTATAAATTAGTGTCAACAAATAATTGGTTAATTGAAATCACCTTTAAATTAATTAATGTCTTGAAAGTAATCAACTAATAGAAATTAGTGTTTCCCATTATTTCAACTATTCAAATAATTGAAATATTGTCAATGTGATTTCCAATTACTATTTTTGATTGACTCATAGTTGTTCAGCTTAATCAATTAGTGTCACAACTTTCAAGAGTAATACTCATTGAAATTATTGTACCTGATTATTGCTATTTTTGATTATTCAAACTATGGAAGGCACATTTTAGGATAAATTATTAGCTCAATGTAATTTATTAATGAGCCTGATGACCAATTATTTAGTAAACTCCATTAATTGTCCAGCTCTAACTCTGACTAAATAGTGGGATTTGACAATCAGTCTCATGACACACACACACATGTGCAGCCCAAAGTGAAGAGGTCAATTTTTTGGTGACAGGAAGTGAACCTTGGATCCTCTGATTCACATCTGTTGATATTATAAAGCTATTTTAACACTATCTGCATATAAAATTTATTCTTTTGGTATCAATTTTTAAAATACTTCAGAATCTCCATACAATGAATATAAGACAAGCATTTTGGAATCACTGTAAGAATTTGAGGTAAATAAAAGTAATTTTATGTGATGTTGACCTTTCACCTTAATCTATGAATTTGATTTTTAACATGCTTCCATTAGAATTTAGACACTTGGTTAATTAAAGCTATCATTTGATCCTCAATAGTTTATTGCTTAACCTTGCACCAGATATGATTAAATAATATTGTATAATACTATTAAAATGTATAGTCTAGCATTATAGAAATACTATAAACACTTTTAAAAAAGATTAAAGAAAAATATTAAAAAATTAGGATTATTTTCAAAGTTTTTTCATTATCATCCATTGCTCATTACTCTCACTTTGTGAAATTTCTATATGAATTATTCTTCAAGTATAATTGTTTTATTAAAATAAGTTACAGGGTGTAAATTTTTTGTCATTAGATTAGAATGAATGTAATCCTTTCATAATGCATGAATCCTTTTTAGTTAAAAGAACAGAATTTGTTTTACATTATAAGACAACTTTTAAGAAATTTCTTATTGGTTGTTTAGTGCATTGCCTAATCAATATTTTTATTGTTTTATATCAAACATAAAAAATATAAACCAATGCTTTATTAAAACGTTTTGTATAGAAAATGGCATTTCACATTTGGTTTTATGTGTATTTTAGCTTGGATGGCGACCACTTCTTTCTCCTGGGACTCCTCAAGATGTAAATGTGTGTGTAAAGGTCTTTAATACTGGCTATACAATTACTGTGCTTGCATTTATTGTGATTGGTTATATCCTACAGTATGCTGCATGTTTTAGGAGAGATGGATTTGGACCCTATGTGATGGTGAGTGAACTTATTGAAAATGTTTTTCAAGATAATAGATAATTATTTTTCTAATGATACGATATTAAAGTGCTAATTTTGGGAAAGTTTGTTTGAAATGACAAAAATAATTATACCCGAGTATGATATCTAAGACTGGGAATGTTCTTTATTTTTTGTAACACTTATTATTTTTTGTCTGTATTGATGTTTACTGTAGGTATTATTTTTTAGATATTTAGATGTAGTTTGTATACTTTTATAGGAAAGATCTGTACTGCCACAGTTGAAAGTGACATCTGCACGTCCATCTTCACTATTTCTTTACCATTATCCTCTGGAGTTTAATAATAGCTACTATAAGCATCTGTCTTTTCCAATACAACCACAAACACAACAGCATTGTAATGGTAGTGCAGTCGGTATCTATATTTTGCCTGATGTTCTACACCTCTCCTCATACATATATGTTCTGTATCAAATGAGAGTGCCAGAAAGGGAGCAGCTGGAACATCTAATGGAAAGGGTTAGTTTTGTTTTAGATTTGCCATTAAAGTTTGTGATGTGTGTTATACATGTACATCCTTAGTCAAATCCAGGCTGATTTTGAGATTCACAAAAATATAAAATCTAGAAATTTTGCAAATACAATATATTTCCTAATATGTATGAATTAAAACAAAAAGTAAACATATTTAAAAATAGTAAAAGGGGTTTTGTCTATGAGTGTAACTCATGAAAGCTAGTTAATTTCATATTGTTTAAATTATAACACTACTTATCTAATAAATCATTATCTTGAAGTTTCCAATTAATATTGGAAGTTAAAAAATAATTTTAACTTTCACAAAATTATGTGGCATGGCCTCAGTAAAAAAAACAATCTAGGTTTTTTACCTTAACATCTATAATTATTAGACTATATTTTATGGGCTTTGTAAAAACGTTTCTGTAACTCAGGGGTGTAAATGGATTAAAAATTAATATAATTTTTCCGCAGAAAATTTATTTATGAAAATAATATAAACGTACTAAGACTGAGGATTTTTGCTTGTATACAAATTGATAAATTGGTTCTCAACAGTAGTTTATAGTGTTGGCATTAGTTTAGTATCTTAATGTGTACAGTAACTTGTTTTTAAATGAACTCAAACGTGTTTGTTTAAAAAAAACAAAGTTAGTAACAGTTTTTTTGAGAAATAGTGTTTGTCCTAGTGAAATGAAATATTTTATTCACAGGTTTTTCTACAGACAACAGTAACCCATGCCTGGCACTTGTCACAGAGAAAATTGATTCGTAGACTTAGGTATGTATTTTCTCTGCTTTGGTTTGGTAAATTTATACGTTAAAATAATGAGTTTTAATTCAATATTAATTGTCTTTATAAGACAGGCTATTTATCTTATGGTTGAATCTTGATGAGTAATGCATGATGATTGAAATTTGATTGTTGAAATTTTTATATCTGCTATTTTCTGATACAAGGAATAACCAATATACTTATATATTAAGATTATATTTGTTTTAGCATTATGATGTATATTTTTATATGTCAGAATTAATGCTTAACAGTTTTTCATTTTGTGCTGCTGTGTTTCAGCCTCTTAACTCTTATTTTGCCAAGATGAGTGCATCCTGCTTTGAGAGCAAAGTTGCACCATTGAAACATTATAATAAATAAATGTTTATTCATTTCTCCACATAAACAAAATCACAGTTGAAATGTATTTAGTAAAGTTTTATTTATTTATTGTTATGCATAAAAAAAGATTAAATTGCAAATTTTGATTTTGGATTGATTTCAGTGAGCTTTAAATAAAAACATTAGTTTCTGATACAGTCTCACCTCTTGTCACACAAAGCTATCTCAATCTTCTTCTGCCCTACAAGTATTGCTAAAAAATTCTGAACATGTACATGTCATGTGACTACTCTCCACCAATAGTATTGCACCACCTATATTGGTGCAGCTAGCTCCTTCTTCTATTCCTGCTCAATCTTCACTTTGTCGATTGGTGCAGCATTCTTTGATGAAAGGCAGAAGACTTTTGAAACGTCATTCTCTATACTTGTGTTTCTACAACAGACAATTGTCATACATTCAACCAAATTTCATCATGGTACATCATTGTTTAGATGTGGTTTTTTTCACATGTGGCTATCATTTATGATTGTGCTTCTTTACTATTTCAATTTTTTCACCAGTTTTTTTTACTGTGTTTGCATTCAGTTGTTTCAACTTATTATTTTCTGTTTATTTCTTGTTACCCAATTATAAGCGATCTTTGTATAAACTAACGGTTCAATGTATCGACTATGGAAATTTCCATTACAGTCAAAAATGCTACTGCTACAACTTTATCTGCAGAGGAGGTACAGGCCTTAATTTGCAGGGAGCTAGATCCATATGTTTGGCTGGCAGTTTCTTCTTTTTTTCAACTTGACAATGTTTCTGAGGAAGAATACAATCAAGGAGAAGATTATTTGGACTCTCTTTTTCCAGCACCTTCTTATTTTAATTTGTCACACTCTCTACACCTCATCAGAAGTTTTCACCCTTCCACTTTTTTTTCTACAGCTTGTTAAGCAGGTCATCAGTTGAAGCACATTTTGGTTTTACTGTATGTTTGAGATGTAGGTGACTTTGCTAGTTTTCTTTTTCCTGCTCCAGTTACTATGCCACCATGTCGTTCACTTTGGTGGAGGTTTGTTCTTCTCCTTCTTTCTTCATACTGCTTCCAGTTCTCTCACCGGATCTGGGATAAGTTTTTTGACTTGTACACTTCACACCTGGTAGATATACCTGTGGGAGGTGTGGCTCAGATGCTCTTTGTGTGGCTTTGTACTTTACACACAGGATAATTAAATATTTCACATCATCAGTAGTTGAACTTTGGTAAGTTAGATATTTATGTGTCCTTTGTTGTTTAAGTTAATTCAGATGAATTGTGAGTTAGATATTGATTATTACTTTGTTTTTCTGGATAATTTTAGTTGTTTTGCATGTTTGTTAATATAATGTACTTTGTAGGATTGGTAAATTTCAAGGTTTTTTTAAGTTTGATATTTATAAGTATTTTAACGCTATCGCAACGGGTCATGTGTCAAAGGCCATGTCATTG